ATGTAGTCATAATATGTAGGATATATGACATCACTACTGTATTTCCCCCAAAATAAGACCAGGTCTTATTCTCTTTTGGGCCCCAAAATAAGCACTAGGGCTTATTTTCAGGGGCATCTTATTTTTTTCCCCATGTACAGGAGGCCAACTTCTGCTTGCTCATGGCGGGACACAAGGTTGTGTGGTATGCCTGTGTCCCAGCCAGGCAGCTGGGGTGGAACTGCCCCACGTGCCCCACACTGGGTTACCTCAGGGACCCCGCAGCCAGGCCATCCATGTCTCAACACCAGCCATGACCATAATGTGGCCATGGCACCAATGCGCCGCGTAGCCTCCTGCTCCATTGCAGCCACAAACAAGCAGAAAAGTGGGCCAGAGGCCATGTTTGCTTCTGCTGCACATGGTTGCTGATGCTGGTGTTGGGGTGTGGATGGCCTGGCTATGGGAATCTTTAGATAAGCTGGTGCGGGATGCATGGGGCAGCTCCACAACCATCCTGTCTTGCCTCGTTGCCACAGCACTGTGAGAAACCAGATGGAAAGGGCGGGTGAGTGGCTGCACATACATAAAAACATGCTAGGCTTATTTTTGGGATAGGTTTTATTTTTGGAGAAACAGTAGTAACATTAGCAATTCTGCTATGTAGGCCAGATGAACTAAAAGTGCTCCTACTGAGAAGAAATTGTTGAGGAAGTTGTAAATGTAGAGCTCCTAAGAATAAAAAGTACTTTTAGCCCAGAGTTCACAGCGAGGAAAGAAAGTGAGAGATTTATTTTTGCTTCTCTATTTCTCTGGATTTAAAAACTCTTGGATTGTCCCCTAAAGGTGTGTTGCCTTCAGGACAAAGGAAATACTTTTGATTCTCTTTCCTTTCTTCCACTTAGTAAGTTTGTTCCAACATCACTAAAACCTAGTTGGAGAAAGTTTAACTGAAAACCCCTGGGATCTATTTACAAGTTACTAAGTTTATAATAAGGATTGAGCATTTAATTGTTTTAAAAATTAACCTGCTTCTCAGCACTAAAAGTGTACTCTTCCTTTCTGAAAACTGGAGGTGAGTTACCAATATAAGATTTGTAGCAGAGTGAGAATCAAGAGTTTGAGAGCTTTTCTGATGGATGGACTGGAAAATCAATGGAGAAACTAGGTGCTAGGTGACTGGACAAATGTGTTGCAGGCAAAGGAGCAAACAGAGCCATCTGCTAGTTGTCATGGCTACCATTCTTTCTAAGCCGTCTTCATTTCATAAGATTTTACTTTAATCTTAAATCATCTTATTGGAGGAAGCGTGTGTTGATCATTTGGACAGGACACTAAATTTCAGAGTATTTGAGTTATAGTGCACACATAAAATCAAGCCAGCCATAAGAATTATGAGGTATAAACATGGTTCATGAATACATGCATAAAATCCTGTCAGTAAAAAAAATATATGGCAAGCAAATATGTGGATAGTGTACAAGATAAGGACAAGGATTCTCTTTAGGACAGCTGAATTCCTAGGGACTTTATATGCATGTCCATTAAGTTCTCCTGGTAGCCACATGGAAATATTCTACCACTGCTTTCTTCCAGAAAGCTGTTCTGACACTCCAATCTATCTTTCTGGCTTCTTATTTCCTGATACTGTATTTGCTGAAGAAATATTAAGCATATATTAAAATATTTGCTTAAGTCTCCAAGACTATGTCATACATTTGCCTGATTTTCATGTTCCTGGAAGATTAGATTAGTTTCTACACTAATGTAGAGAAATAAGGAAAGCAGAATCCTGAATCTTTGCTGTCCATATACAAAAATGATAATTCCTTCATTTGTTTGATCATATGAATATTCACTTCCATGATGTTCTTAAGTTTACAACTTTCACATCTCCCACTTTCTATACTCACATATCAGACGAAGCCCAGGTTGCTTTACATGTACTATTCACACAAGGGAGGCTAGAGAGAACTCAAAAGGGAAACATCTTCTATCAGCATTTCTTCACACAAATACTTGCTAAAGAGGATGTCTGAATGTCATATTAACTTCTATTTGCCTCCATTTTGAGGCAAAAATGAACTGCTTCAATGCAATAATGCTATAGTTCATGCTATAATAAACTCACTGTTCATGAGGACTAGGGACACTAATAAGTTAACTTGAAAATTGTCATTTGTTGTAATGACAATCCCTTTCTGAGGGTTCTTATATAGTATGGCATTATTTTAAATGCTTCCAGTGGAATCATTCCTTAGAGATATGAGAATATTTAGAATGGTAAAGAAATGTGTATATTTCTAGTTGTCAGCCATACAATTACCATCCTCCGCTTTTTAATATATATTTGTTTTCTGTAGTTCGTGGTTTTTTTTCTCATTAATATGAATTGAACACAAAAAAATCTATTGCTTTTATGGAAAAGAATCCCTAAGCAGGGAATATACAGTATATATATAAAACCTCTTGCCTGACAGAATCACTCTCTTTAAATACAGCTGAATTGCAGCTTTGCCTAGCTTTATTCCAACAAGTGGTTGTTCAATTATTTGACCTGAAGTCTGCTGTTTTATCATCAAAAAGCTTTTCTGAGTCACCAAGTGACCAGGCCGCAAATAAAAAGCTTTTTTCCATTTTCTTTTTCAGACAGATAAATATTATCTTTCAAGATCTCTCCCTCAACCAAAAATGTTTCTGAAATAGTTTCCCTTTTTTTGTATAGTGTTATGGTTTCTTGAACTTTTAGCCTCATGCTTCCCAGATTCCTCCCTTAATTCTTACAAAGGCATTCTTTTTGGAAACTTTTCTGTTTTGAAGTTGACAAACATGAATGGAGAAGCAAAACCCGGGCAGATCAGAAAAGGCAGAAGATACACTCAGGATTCTCATCCCTGCTTCTCTCCTTTCCCACAACCCAGAGGAGAAAAACTATTTTCCTGTCACAATTCATTCCCATCCATTGTTTAGAAATGCAAGAAGGGGGAAATGTTCCAGTTTTCTTTGCTACCTTTTACTCTATTGCTCCATCTCAGGCAAATTCATCAGTTATCTGAAGTGTGTGATGTCATTAAGCAATCACCCCTCTGATGGATCAAAATCGGTGGGCTATTACATCACATTCTTCTACTAGGATTAAATTTTATTGTTTACTGTTTCTTTACTAAAAAACAGCTTTATTACACCTAAGTCAAGTTGCTTGTTATTCAAATGGCACCATTATAAAGAGGTCTTTGACCTGTTCATGGGAAAAGCCTATAAATCCACTATTATAGGAAGTCAGGGAAGAAGATGTCAGGCCTATTTTTTGTCAACAAACAATTAATATGATGTTCTTTTGCCGTGTCTGAGCAGGTGTAGTACAACAAAACCCAAGCTCTGCAGAGTGGTGGTATCGCCATACAAGGATGTAAGAAAAAGAGGGGGGATTTGTGCAGTGATATTGTTGTGGTTCTGGCTATAACTTGTTGGGCTTTATTATTATAGATCTCCGGAGGGGGAAGGAATGAGAAATTATATCTTCATTATTTTTCAATGCAATTCCTTGCTCTCCCATCCAGGATTCTAATAGCACATTCCATGGTTTTCATTTTACAGTTTGGGGGCCTCTGTTTGTTTTTATTGTTTGTGCACTGCTCAGATATAGAGTTACAATACAGATAACTGCATACGTGTTTTAAAATAAATAAATAGTAATACACATGATGGTTTTGCCCATAAAAATTATGTTAGACTATAACTTAAGCACCATTCCCTTGCCATTTCACCATTTACTTAGCTAAATGAGACTGGTTAAATTTGAGTAGAGTGAGATAACTGCAACTAGAAAGTCATCTTTTCTACTTTGATCTTTCTAGATAGCACAGGAAGACCTGGAAGGAGTTCATGTGAGCATTCACTGAAGGTTCATAAAAGAATCCAGGGACTTTGGAATCCAGATAAAACATTCAAACCTTTTGTTTTATATAGGAAAGTGAGTCAAGTGTGCAAGATCTTGCAATTGTTTGTGTGCATCTCATGTCGCTTTTGAGGATGAAACTGATGCAGACATTCCATAAAGCTGCATGTCTTGCAATTCTCTATTCAAGGATAACATATGAAAAGGACTATTACTAATCAATCAGCTCGTAGCAATTGTCTCAACTCTAGCTGAAGCAGTTTCATCATAATCAGATATCCCAAAGGTGCTTTTTCAAGAGGCAGCTGGACTTTCTGGTTTTTCTTTGAAGACGTTTCACTTCTCATCCAAGAAGTTTCTTCAACTTTGACTGGATGGAGAGGAATGGAAAGATTTATACTCCTTGTAGACAGCTGGTCATTTGCATTCTTTTAGAAAGTCATTGAGGCCACCTGGAGGTTTATCTGTGTCATCTGTGCCATCAAATGGGTGTGGAGCCTTCTTGGAACTGTTGAAAGGAGTCTGTTATAGACTGGAGGTAGATGATGTTGAGAGATGGCTGTTCAATTTTTTTTCCTTATTTCTTTTTAATTGAATGTTTTGTACAAAATAGTTTATGCCTTGTGGATCAACAACTGCGCTCTTTCATTTTGTCCCAATGCCAGACATGAACCAAGTGATCTGTGTAGCCAGCAAATAGAGTCTGTCCATCAGCAGACCAGACCAATGAGGTGCACTGAGGGGGTTCTGCCTTGCTGCTCATGGTGATCACTTTCTGTTTGAGTTTATCCACAATGATTTTACCTTCCAAATCCCATAGCTTGATGCTGGGACCAGTGGCAGCACACAGCCAGTAGATAGCCTCTTCAATCCTTCTTTCAAACCAGCAGTCCTCTCTGTCCAAAATGTGGACTTCAAAGAAAAACAAGAAAGTCCAGTTGAAAAAGCATCTTTGGGAAAAACTGTGACTTGAATGCCTGAGAATCTCCATAGACATCATGATCAGATGTTCGGCTTGATATAGTTGCAGTTTCATAATCAGGTCAAAGTAACTGTCATGCATTTCTCTCTACCCACCCTCTCTTATCCCCTCTCCCATCCTTAAATCAAAAAGGTGAAGGAGATGAAGACCAACACAGCTTCTGAAATACTAAGATTTCTGGAGCAGAGAAGCATTCACGTCTTTGAAAACCACAGTGAACAATCACTGAACGTCTCCAACTGTATGACAATTGTCGTGCCAGAGGAAATTTTCTTCACCATTGCTACAGTAGGAATCCTGGAGAACTTGCTAGTCCTCCTTGCAGTAGGGAGGAATAAGAACCTGCATTCCCCCATGTACATTTTCATTTGCAGCTTAGCTGTTTCAGACATGTTAGGAAGCTTGTCCAAGACTCTGGAGAATATCTTCTATATCATATTTTGCAGAACGAGATACCTTCCATGTAGTGGAACAATGATAACAACTGTGGATGATATTATAGATTTCATGTTTATTTTATCTCTACTGGGATCAATTTTCAGCCTTTCAGCCATTGCTGTGGACCGATATATAACTATATTCTATGCGCTGCGTTACCATAACATCATGACTCAAAAGCGGGCTTTACTGATTTTGCTGGTGATTTGGGCTTTCTGTGCAGGGAGCGGCATAGCAGTGGTGATTTTCTCCCATGAGATCGCCACTATTGTATCTTTCTCAGCTCTGTTTTATTTCATGCTCATTTTTATCCTCTGCCTTTACATCCATATGTTTCTGCTTGCCCGTTCCCATGCCATAAAGATCGCCTTGATGCCCGCAAGTTCTGTTCACCAGAGAGCTAACATGAAAGGAGCCATTACGTTAACAGTATTACTTGGTGTTTTTCTCTGCTGCTGGGCTCCCTTTGTTCTTCACGTGCTTCTGATACAGCTTTGCCCCCAAAATCCTTACTGCATTTGCTATTTGTCCATCTTCCATGTCAACGGTATGTTAATCATGTTCAATGCTGTCATTGATCCCATGATTTATGCATTTCGAAGTCCAGAACTGAGAAGTACTTTTAAAAGATTGTTCTGCTGCTGGCAGCCAAGCTGGGCTTAGCTACTAGAAATTCAAAACTCCAGCGAGTTTTATCTTTTTACCAATTTATCACAGAGGATCTCAAGGATTTTAAAGCAAGAGTCTCCAATCTTGGCAGTTTTAAAGATGGGCACTTCAACTCCCCAGCTTGGGGGATTCTGGGAGGTGAAGTCCCCAAATCTTACAGTTGCCAAGGTTCGAAAACCCTGTTTTAAAGGATCTAAACATGTCACTTATCAGTGCTGCTCTGCCAAGCTTAATATCTTTAATTAGACCACCATCAGATATAGGCCTCACTCAGATCTTTGTACGTAGTTAATAACTTTCATTAGAATTGGCCAAAGGAATCTGCAGTAATAGGGCATTACAGCTGATGTTGCTATATTATTTCCTGCTGATCAATGGATATGTTTTCTCTAACCAACTAAGAAATTATTTGAGCTAATTAACATACTTATCCTTTATTCTTCCCACATGGTAATAGGATTTTGCTCAAATCTGTTTGCTGCAGCTGTTAAAGAAGAATTGGATTGTAAAATATGTTTTTGTTTCCCTTCGCTTTGGGTCTAGTTCCATCTTCCTCTTATAAAAACAATGTGCATAAATGATGTGCAGAATCAAAGAAAGTAACCTGAATACTGCTAAAGAATAGCCAGGTTTCAGACCCTTAGAGGATGTTATAATCCAACATCAACATTCAGGAAACATAAGAAATATCTTCAAAATATACTGACCAACAGTCATGGCTAATGTATTTTATCTCCATATACAAAGGCAGCTCTTCTCTCATTAGCAATTTCTTGGGAACACATTGGGATATGCTACTACATTCATATATACCCAAGAAGTCACTAAGGAAACAAGTCAATGGATTAAATAAACTTGTCTAGGGATATTCTCAGTCATCCAGGTCATGACCCAGATCTGAAGAAGCTTCTTGGATGAGAAGATCTTCAAAGAACTGTTAGATAAACTTATTGTCCCAGATAATGATGTTTTTCCATAAAGAGATGGCTACAAAGTGACATACATTATCTGTGCTGTGGGTTGTTTTTTTCTTTAAAAAGAAATTAGCACCTTAATTATTATCTGTCTCTGACCCAAATATTGTGGTTGTTGTCATCGGGGAGGCCAAAAATGGGCCCAGAGTGCTTTGGGGACTCCGGGGAGGGGAAAAAATGGGACATCTGGAGGCAAAAAACTATTTTTTTCTTGTTTTCCTCCTCTAAACCAAGGTGTGTCTTATAGTCTGGTGCATCTTATAGTCTGAAAAATACAGAATGTCTTGAATGTCATCTTGTCATCTTGAATGTCTGGAAGAAAAGAACCCAAATATGCCCAGATAAAAATGTTCTTGGTTATTTCAGGTTATTTAATATTTCTCATCCAAACTGCTTCTTGTGCTGAGATCCACAAAGGTGTTTTCAGGCACAACCTAGGCTAGTATTTATTCCATATTCTCAATATGACATATCTAACATAATGATTTTTAAAATTCACATTAACCTTTATCATACCACAATTATCTATGCCACCCAAATCTCAAGTCATATATCCTTCTAACTCCAAAAGCCTTCTAATTTCTGAGCAGGACTTACTCTTTTATTCATGGAGAACATAATTCTGGAGTTGATTTCTTAATAAACAACATCTGGAGGCTGAAGCTGTTGGCAAAAGGCAACAGGAAAGTGTTCGTTTTTTAAAAAAAAAAAACCTCTATTGTCCATCATATTTTAGCAATGTATGTACCTAACCATTAGTTGAAGTTGAGACCAGATACAGCAGAAAGAAAATTTAAAAAGCTGTAAGTTCTGTATTAAATTCCTCACAGAGATGAATAAAATTCTTTCAACTGTATCTGAAGGTGAAAAAGTATAATGGAAAGGTCAGGAAACTGCAATTGGCTTTCCTGCAGATTATGAGCAATGAAAGTGTTTACTAAATTGCTATCAGGCCATTTATTACAGTGCACCTCAGAAATTACCTTCCTAACATCAAAGAGTATAGATTTTCATAGAACATGGACAGCAATTCTTTATGACAACATCCAGTTTGTATCTCAAAATTCAGGCATTATTGTTATGTACCATGACCATCAGTTGTGAAGTTCTTCAGGAATTGTTGACCAGGCCTCATAGACTGCATAATTAAATTGTCTCTACACAGAGTTCTGGAAACCCTCATTATGGACTACTCAGAGTAATTAACCTGCCTGCTTTGAAGCAGAACTACACCAATCAAAGTAATGAATCAATTGGCAAACATTTCAATTAGTTAAAAGTAAGCATCTGTTGTGGCAAACATCTGCTGGTTGGGGAAAAGTGTATGCATCCAAATGCTTATGTACAATAGACTACTCTCTGGGATAAATATATTATTTTGGTTGCTCTTGCCTAAGTTCACCTGGGGAAAAATCAAAGATTTATATTGGCTGAGCCAAAAACAAATGTAAAACCAGGAAAGAGAGCACAATCTTATGAAAAGAGGACCGCATGTAAGAGAGAGTGCATTGTATAAGATAAAACTCTTATGTAGCTTTTTGAGAGTGAAAGTACGGAAGCTGGAAAGGTACTCTATTGGTTGAGTTTTAGGGATTGGTATTTTCAATCTATTTAGAATTTCTCTCTCCAAAGTAAAAGGTCATTAATCTTTTATTATACCTATCCAATAAAAAAATAGATTATCCAATCCCATTGTGAGTAGCAATTCAAAATCTATTATATTGATTGGGAGGTAAAAACTAAATTTAGAATAAATTGCTGTCTACATTCAATGAAAATCCATTCCTAATAGTTTTAGGAAATTTTTATTCAAAAATATATTCATCAAAAGACATGTTTCCACCACAAGGATCTACACTTCTTTGTGAGGCCAAATTTTATTTTAATTCCAAAGGTTCTGTCACATAAATGTATAAAATATAATGAGGTAATGGCTCCTAGCTGAGAAATTATATATCCATGAATAATGTTGAGATGTTGAAGATTTTTAGCAAAGAATTCTTCCAAGCTAATAGGCTAGCAATTTCCAATTTGAGAACTTTTGTTAAGTTCATATGGCTCAAAAATTGTTTTCCAAATCAATTAAACAACCAGTCCCCCACCCCCCTTTTTTTTTTTATCTTTCCTTCAAATGTTGGCCTATGTGTCAGTGGTGGGATTCAATTTTTGTACTACAGGTTCTGTGGCTGTGGCTTGATGGCCGTGGCAGGGGAAGGATACTGTAAAATCTCCAGTCAGAGGTGGGATTGGCTGGTTCTCTGAACTACTCAAAATTTGTGCTACCGGTTTTCCAGAACTGGTCAGAACCTGCTGAATACCACTTCTGCTATGTGTTACAGATAATTTATCCTACTGAAGTGAGGTTTTAATGCCAAAAGAGCTGGTTATCTTGAGGTTTTTTGAACCATTAATGTCAAATGTCATGGAAAGTTTTACTGTGATGGCACTTTCTAGATACAATTTTAGCTGAAAGAGATTTACCTTCTATTTAGTGTCCCAAAAATTATGTTGCAAATTGGAGGCAATCACTGAAGTAACATTATCTGAAATCATAAGATCAATATTCAGGCAATGAAGTTATCTTTAGCACCTTTCTTTCCGCTTGGACTGATTTGGGTTATTTTTTAAAAAATGTGTTTAATCACATCATCAATCTCTAAATGAATGGATTATCTCCTGTGAAAACTCCTTGAACCCTTCCAATTAATCTTACCAAGATATTTCATGGAAATCATCACTATAGTCTTCTTTCAAAACTCTGAACAGTATTCAAACACAGTATGTCATCTACTGAGAATAAGCTGTGTCAATATTAACAATTGGTATGATCGCAGTAGACACTTTTTAAAATTCACATAATTGTCCTATTCCCTATAAAGCCATCGATAGAGAAGTACAGTACTATCTAGTTTTTTACAGATTTGAGTATTATAGTTATATAAAAGAGTGCAAAATAAGATGATTTTCATTGATTGGAAGGACTAATGTTTATAAGTCAATGTGCTAATTTTCCCTAGCACATGCTTGATTTTTTTGTTTTTTAGTCTTTTAACTTTAAAAAAAAAGGTGTGGGGGGGGGTGTATGCTGCATAGTCAATGCCAGCTCTAAGTTTCTGGGTGCTACAAAATTATAAGCCAGTGTCTTGTTTAGAAGGGTCCCTCTCTGTCCAGAAAAAAGGGTAAGAACAATTGTGGATTGTAGAGACCATCCTGGGAGGTGAGAAAGAGTGATACAGTAAAACATCACTACTTTCCCTACTAGAAAATGGGTGTTTCCTGAGAGACCATATCAAACATGATGCTTCTTTTCTGAGAACACCCATAATATTCTATCAAAATTTCCAAATGAGCAAAAGGCTGCAGAGACCAATGCTCTAGAGCAGAGGTGTCAAACTCACGGTGTTACGGCAGTGTCATGTGATGCATCTTGACTTTTTTTCCCTTTTGCTAAACTGGGCGTGAGTGTGGGCAGCACGTGACACATCTGGCCCATGGGCCATGAGTTTGACAGCCCTGCTTTAGAGAGACCAAAATTGTTTATATTGGTAAAGTTATGTAAGTGGTATTCTATGGGATAAAATGAAAAGGTAATGACATTATGCTACTACAGAGACATTGCTCTGTACGGATTCTGTATAGAATCTTATGCTGCACACTGAAGAGCATGCTAAAGCAAACTACAAATTGGACAGGGCAGCAGTCATTCATGTTGGCTTCATGCCATTTGTTCTTATTTAGAAACCCATCTCAATACCTCAGTTGCAGTCCTTTCATCACTGAATACCGAGGACTCAGAGAACCAAAGCAGTTGGTTTTAGGACTCTGAATCGAACAGAAATTTGAATCAATGCAGATATCCTGATAAAAGTATTTTTGAAATATGGCTGTTTATCCCCTGTTTCAACACATCTGGTACAGGGTAGTCTATAAGTAATCACTTGTACTTTCAACTACAAATTCTGTTTTCATTCATCTGAGTGTGAATTATCTCTTCCCAGTGACCCCAATCAAGCAGTCCTT